CAAATTTAGCTGGACATTCTGTTTTACCTATGAATCTTAGTGTAGGGTAAACCCTAAGTGTGCTGTGACTACTTTTAATAGCCACTTAAATGTTAAAAAGGCATCATTTGTTTTCCATTATTCATTGTGGATTGAATAGAAACTCTTTGAGGATAGTCTTCGAACCATGTGATTTGTTTCTTCTTTGACTCAGTAGCACCCAGCACATAGTAGGTATTTGTGAAGGAAATGAAAGAGAGAAAATAATGGACAGTGACCAGCAGGGTCACAGGGTAGCTCAGATGAGGGCTTTAAACCAGGGAACTGTTTACAGACATTTTATTATTTTATTTTATTATATTTTAAAAATAATGTTTCTTGCCCTGGCCGGTTTGGCTCAGCGGTTAGGCTAGAGAGTCCTGGGTTCGGTTCCCGCTAAGGGCATGTACCTCAGTTGCAGTTTGTCCCCAGCCCCCGTTGGGGTTGTGTGGGTGGCAACCAGTTGATGTGTCTCTCTCACATCGATGGTTCTCTCTCTCTCTCCCTCCCTCTCTTCCTCCTGCTCTATCTGAAGATAAATGCAAGAGTGTCCTTGGGTGAGGAGAAAAAAAAAAAGAAATAAATAAAAATAATTTTTCTTTGTTGATTAGAGAGAGAGAGGAAGTGAGAGGGAGAGCAATAGAAACATCGATGAGAGAGAATATCCATTAGCCACCTCCTTCATGCCCCCCACTGGGGATTCAGCCCACAACCTGGGCATGTGCCCTGACCTGGAATTGAACTGGTGACCTCTTGGTGCACAGGTTGATGTTCAGCCACACCAGCCAGGCTATTTAATTTTGTTGTTGTTAATCCTCACCTGAGGAAATTTTTCCATTGATTTTAGATAGAGTGGAAGGGAGGGAAGGGTGGAGAGAGAGAGAGAAATATCCATGTGAGAGAGACACATCAGTTGGTGGCCTCCCACTTGACCCTGACCAGGGCTGGAGAATCAACCTGCAACCCAGGTATATATGTGCCCTTGACTGGGAATCAGACTCGAGAACCTTCAGTCCAAGGGCCAGTGCTCTAACCACTGAGCAAAACTGGCCAGGGCTGTTTGCACAGATTTCAGCCAAAAAACCACACAGAATGGGAAGGAAACCCAAGGGATTAGTAATAGTAGAAGCCACCACCCTCAGGCAGGTGGGTTTGGGGAAAGAGGGTATTTTAAGAGCCCCGGGCCGAGGTTGCCTGGTGGCAGCTGGTGCCACTGGAACTAAGAAGGGGAAGGCTGGGGTCACAGTGGACATATGGGCAACACGTTCATTTCCCCCTTTCTGTACTGTCATTTCCCACTTTTTACCTTCTGGGTGCCAAATTGAGTTAGGAATCAGTTGACAAGGGAGCCTGGGAAAGTGGTTTGCAGGGCTCAGAACCCTTGATAATGGAGGGAAGGGAAGGGTCTGTGAGAGCACATGGGCAAGTGACAGGCTTTGACTCTCAGCTTATTTTGTTACTGGACTGAAGGGGTCCATTTGCCTCCATGCGTCAAAGGCCAGTAAGACCCAAACAGGAGTTTGCAGCCAAGAAAGTAAGAATTTATTAAAGAGATGGTACCATGCCTGGGGTCACAGGTAGCACGTGCTCAGTGACCTGACTCCCCGATGGCTTCCAGGGGATGGATTATAAAGAGAAGAAATCATTAGTCGTGGTGACTAAAGGAGTTAGAGTCATGGTCTCTACTGACTGGTTGGTGCTAGGATAGGGGTACTTGATCATTGCATCTGGTCCTGATGTTGGCCAGGGAGTCGCTCTGTCCAACTTCACAAAGATTTGTTCTGTGGGATCTATCCGCTTTTCTGGGTCGGGAGCTAAAACACAACTGGGGCCAAGATACTGTCTTTAGTTGGATTAAAACTGTCTCTATTGTCAATAGACCCAGGACCTTGTTCCTAAGACCACTGGGTGCTGACCAGAACCTCACTGTCCTGAAGCCTTAATGATTAAGCAAAGGAGAGGGAGGGAGACGGGTGAGTCAGGCACTGGGTGAGGCCAGTTTGAGTCAAAGGAAAAAAACGTCAAAATAAAAGGCCAGATTAAAGAAAATAATGTTTCTCTTCATTACAATTTGACAGTTAAAAGTATATTTAGACCTGGTTTTTATCTAGAAGGCAGCTCTGCATCTATCCACTGATTTGCATGGTAACTTTTTTAAATGAATGATTTAAAATGAATGATGGACAGGTGGATGGATCTATGAGCATAGTGTGAGGAAAGCTCATCTGTTACGTCTGACATCTTCCTCTCACTGTTGTAAATGTGTCATGCCACTTTGAGAGCACAGTTCTCTCGTGCAGCATGTGTTGAGGATCTTCTGGGTTCCAGGCACCGTGCAGGCTGCCATGAAGTGCTGCAAGCACTTGCCTGTATGTGGTTTGTGTGAGGTAGCAGATCACAGAGACCCATCATCCAAGGCAGCTTTAGAATAATTGCACAGGTAATGTGTAGGTAAAGGAGAAAGTCCAGCATCTAGTTTTGGGGCTCCCAGAGACTTAATGGTAGAAGTGATGTTGGAGTGGGGCTTGGATAGGATTTCAGAATGGATCAGATTTCATCAGCCACACTGGGCAGAGGAGATAGCAGTATAGGCCCACAGACAGGAATCTTCCAGGCATGTCTTGAAAACAGTCTGGCTTGGATGGAGCTTGGGTATAAGTGATGGGAGATAAGGTTGGACAGGTCAGCACCCTTTCCACACTATCATCATCTGTTTCCCGAATTCTGGAAGAGGCTCCGAACTGGTTCCTGTTTCCTGATTTTCACCCTTGCAGTTTGTTCCCTGCCCAGCATTGATGGAGATCCTATTATTCTACTGATGCTCCAAAACCCTCCTTTCTCATGTTGTAAAAGGAAGAGTCCTTATGGTGGTCTAGAAGCCCCTCCCCCCACCCATTACCTTTCTGACCCCTTTGGATTTCTCATATCTGGCTTGTTCTTGCCTCAAGGTCTTGTACTTGCTCTTCTCACTGTCTGGAATTCTCTTCCCCCAAAGTCCGCATGGCTCACTTCAACTCATACAAGGTCTTGTAGACTTTCCCCAAAGCATATATAATTCATATTAAGAAATACATAGGTTTGTATTAAACATAGTTTCATAATCTCTCTTTTTCTCTACAACCTATCATAATCATCCTTGTAAGTTCCCTTCTATGTCTGCAATACCACTCATTCAGTGGCTGCATAGTGTTCCATCATATGGAAAATAGGAAGAAGTTGGACAGATGCAGGAGGGTCAAAGGGCACGGGGGGTGGAGTGTTAAGAGGTGGCCATAGAACTGATTTTGTGAATAGAGTCATCTTGAACAATGATAAAGTCCAGGAGAGTAAACTGTGCAGGTGGGTGAGGTGATGTCTCTGCATCAGTACGGTAGGATCCTGGAAGGCCAGAGTTCTGAGGGTCTTCCACAAAGGTGCTGAAAGTGTTAGTCACCTGGACTCTTAAAGTGAGTAGAAGTAGTTTGAGCACATTGCAGACAATGAGCAAAACATCCCAAGATGTGATATTTATTCAGAAGGGAAACTTGAAAGTCATCTGTTGTCAATACAGGTTAATGCCAACTTTCATCTTCTGCAGCTGTGAATTTTCAAGTGGGATTTTATCATTACATGATGTTATTATCTTTTCTACATCCTCTTATAGGTATTTTGTGTCATCAAAGTGTGTGACTTTCTGGAGTGATAGAAATGTTCCGTATCTTCATCTGTTTGACAAAATCAGTTACATTAGTATATACATACATGGAAGGGAGAATAATGGCCCCCCCAAATTTCCACAACCTAATCCTTGGAATTTAGTGGGAAAAGGATGGTCTTTCTGGATATGGAGCCAGATCAATAGGATATCCAAGTGGAAAGAATTAACCCTGGCTGTCACCTCACCATTACACAAAGGTTCATTTGAAGTATATCATAGGCTTGAATGTAGAAGTTTATTAAAATAATAAAGCTTTTGGAAGAAAATGTCATGAATATTTTCACAGTGTTGATGTAGACAAACATATAGATAGAGCAAAATACACTGGTCATTAAAGTTGTTTAGCTGATTGACAAGTTGGTCTTCATTAAATTAAGGACTTCTTTTCTCCAAAGACACACCGTTAGATGAGAGTGAAAACACAAACCACAGACTGGAAGCAGATGTATATAGTTTATTCCACTGACAGAGGACGTGTCCAGAATATATATAGGACTTCTACAAACAATAAGAAAAAGACACAGTTCAGTGGTGTTTTGGGTCATTTTGATTCTCGTGGGGGAAAGCGACCCTCCGCTAACTGGAATGTGATGGCTGCTAAAGGGACAGGTCCTGGAGGTAAACAGACCTGCTTCAAAGCTAGCTTCACTACTTACGACCTAAGGGGTTTGGGTCAAATTATTTCATGTCTTTTTTTTTAAAGGTAATACAAAGAGGAGTTTTTATTAATTACCTCATTTTTATTGTTTTTCTTTATTGATTTTTAGAGAGGGAGAGAGAGATAGAAACATTGATGAGAGAGAAAGAACATCGATTGGCCGCCTCCTGCATGCCCCCCACTGGGGATCTGACCCACAACCTGGGCATGTGCCCTGACCAGGAATCAATCCGGTGACCTTTGGATGCATGGGTCAACACTCAACCACTGAGCCACATCAGCCGGGCAAATTATTTAATTTTTTATAACTCATTTCTTCATCTATAAAATGGGAATAATAGTAGTATTTGCCACAGCCGTTTGAAGATTAAAGGAGCACACGTGCTTAGCAGAGTGCCTGGTGAGTATTACTGTTGTTATCCTCATCTAATTAGAGCAGTCATCTAGCCAGACCGTTCCATTCCTGACGTATGGGCGGTGTCTGTAACTGTGGGCAGAGAACGATGGTGAAAACACCAGCCTGTGTAGCCTCTCCAAGCCTCAGTGTTGTCAGGCTTAACCCTCCTGCTGTGAAGAAAACGCCAACTATTTGTTCTAACTTGAATGATTTCTGATATTTTATTCCAGCAAACTGTTTTGGCAACCATGTTGGAGAGCACAATGCGGCGAATTCCACAGCGCAGATGACAGTTGGTGCACCTGTGTCTGTAGAGCAAGTGGCTCACCACTGGGGGGCTGGGAGACCCCCTAAAAGCCACAGCCGTGGCCTCTCAACAAAGGCCCCACAAGCCTCCACAACAGTGGCACCACAGAAGTGCTTTCTACAGATCACAGGCATGACCTGTGCATCCTGCGTGTCTAATATAGAGAGAAACCTGCAGAAAGAGGCTGGTAAGAGACCGTACCCCTGTTACACTGGGAATGCTGTGTCTGGACTGTCCAACACTGCAGTCAGCAAAAAGGAGCACCATGCTTCCCCTTCAGCATCTTCGCTAACTGCGTTTATCAGTAGCCCTGATCATCCGGTAGCAAGTTCATCATGTGATGTATAGATGTTTGTCTAATGTTCGTGGGTGGTTGGCATCTTCAAGTATGTAGTTTGAGGTAAAATGTGTCTGAGTAAGTTAGTGTGGGAATTCCAGTTTAGAGGTCATGGCACATTCCACGGGTAGCCTCCTCAATAAGCTTGTCCTAGTAGTATCTTTATGTTTCTCAATCTCGTACTATCCAGTGATAAATAGCCTGCATTTTGTGAAGTTCCAGTTTCAAATATTTCATTTTTTTGTTCCTGTAAACTACAGAGTGCTGTGACTTGCCAGAGTCTTGTCCTCCAAGCTACATTTTCATTATTCTCTTAAACCTGAAAGTGCAACAAATCCTGTCCTGATATTTTGTTTGAAAAACATTTTAACCATGACCCTCCCATGCCACCAAAGTTAGAAAACCTTTTCTCTTTCCTCCAGTGGCTTCTTGTGTCTTTCTGATCCCTGGCCCTAGAATCAACCCTCAATTAGGAATTTTCCAACCTCTTTTGAGCTCCCTGGAGCTTTAGAATGACCATGCTTAAATCATGTTACAGGACTTTGTTTGTCATCATGGAACAGCTGCCCATAAAATTAACCTGGATCTCACAGTACCTGTGTTTCTGTTCCTGACTTGAATCCCTCATTTTTATCCCTTGCAGTGGTTCTCAACCTGTGAGTTGTGACCCCCTTTGGGGGTCGAACGACCCTTTTACAGGGGTCGCCTAAGACCATCGGAAAACACATATTTCCGATGGTCTTAGGAACCGAGACATCGCTCCTCTATCCGTCTCCAGGCGGGTCCGCCCACGTGCAGATATGCCCACATACAACATGAGGAATGTATTAAAGGGTCGCGGCATTAGGAAGGTTGAGAACCACTGCCTTATGGCATTCTTTCTAAAGCACATCATTGCTTTCATCTGTTTCAATAAACTTTTTTTCCCCACCTAAACTAACATAATAGTGTGTTGGATTTCTTATACTTCTGAAAGTGATCAGGAACTGCAAAAGAGTATGGAAAATCAATTTTGAAATTATTATTTTTTTATGTGAAAATGACTGAAGAAAAAAGTATCTCTTTAATGTAACAGTAGTTGCTGCTGCAGACTAGACCCCTTGCTTTGAGGTGCATGCACCCATCAGTGTCTTCTAGAGCCTGACCCAGAGTGGCCCTCCGGGCCAGTGCATGGGCATCAGCTGGGAGCTGGATGACCTACAGAACCTCAGACACCACCCCAGACTGACTGAACCAGAATCTGTAGTTTAATAAGGTCCTCAAGGTGATTCATATGCCCAGTAAGTGTGAGAAACATTGTTCTAGAACAGTGCTCCACATGCTTGGCTGCACATTAGGGTCACTTGGGAGCTTTAAACAAAGATGCCTGGTTCTCAACTAAAGATACTGACTTAATTGTTCTGGGTTAAGGGTCCAGCATACTAATGGTTAAAAGCTCCCCAAGCGATCCCAATGGGCAGCCAAGTTTGAGAACCACTGTTCTAGAGACTTCTGAGGCAAATGTTGTTGTTGTTGTTTTTTTGCTAGGTTATGTTGAACAGCCAGAGACCTTGTCTAGAATGTTACAACTGCAGCTTGATGGTTTCAGGTATTCTCTCCGTGCTGGTTGCCTTGATGGCCGGAAAGGCAGAGGTTAAGTACAACCCGGAAGTCATCCAGCCACTCGAGATAGTGCAGTTCATCCAGGACTTGGGCTTTGGGGCAGCAGTGATGGAAGACTACAAAGGCTCTGATGGCGACATTGAGCTAGTCGTAAGTACAGTGACTGGGCTGGAGCTGGGGGCTAGAGGGCTTCAGCAGCCATGGCTTTATCAGTCAGTGCCTCTTATCTTGCATATATCCTGTTTGCTGCTGTTTTTGTTCATTTTATTTTGCATTGAAGCCAATAAGGACCTGTTCATTTTGTGAAGGAATGTCCATTATGACAAAGTCACAGGAGTGAATCCCACTGGGGACATTCAGAGTTTTGGAGAAGGAGGTGGAGCTGGTGGGAGTGTTGGAGGAGTATGAATTTAATGCAAATGGCAACTGTCCTGAGTTGGTGGTTTGAGGGAGTTGAATATGAACTCACTCTATACAGCCTACATAGAGGAAGCTGGAATGCCAGTGGTATCGAGGGAGTCAGCATGGTAGGCAATGCCATCACAGGTGGAGAGGGCTTGTACATAGGCACAGGGGCATCTAGAAGGTAAAGGGTGATGAGATTGTTCCGAAGCACTCAGTCTGAGGTGAATGCCAAAGGTAGTTGCTATTGCCAGTGTGCTCGGGGTGGCAGGGGTAGGGTGGCAGTGGGGGAGGGGTGTTTGCTGTCTGTCCATTGCTACTAGCTGCATGTGTCAGCAAATCATTGAAAACAACAGGCACTGCTAGTATTTTGAATATGCTATGTTTACCAGCACTTATGTATAAAACTCGTTTTGTGTAAATGAAGCAGACATAGAAGAAACACACAGTGAATTGAGTAATGTTTTACTTGGTAAAAGGGTCTTCTGCTTCCTCACTGTGTTTAGTCACTGCCATTAATGGTAAGTGAATGTTTGAAGAACAAGTACTAAGGACACGAATGGCACTTTGAGCTGCTGATAAGTGTTCTTGTCGAGCGAAGCCTTTGCTCTGGGTGGGCCTCCATGTGTGTTGAGGGGCAAAGGGTGATACTCGCTGGATCACAGCTCAAGCTGGCCCCTGTGGTCACAGCAGGGCGCCTGCTGCAGAGCTCCAGGTCTCAGACCACTACTGCATAGAAAAATCTGAATCAAGAATATCGCTGGGAAAAGTGAACATTTTTTGAACAGTGTTTTTTATTACATTGTTTTTTTGTGTGTTTTTTTAACTAAGCAATATCAATAGTTATATCATCACATGTTCAGACATTTTATGTCTGTATTTAATGGTGTTCTGGGAAATGCTACCACTGATACTTGGAGGAGTGAATTGTCTAGTTTGCTACTAAATAGTACAGGGATAGAAGGTCTCATTCCTGTTTCTCAAGTCAAGACACACAGCATGGCGTGGCAGAGGGACAGCTTTCACTGGGCTTGAATTCAGGCTCTGTCGCTGCAGGGATGTGTCTTAACCTGGTCTGTGAAGGTCACCTCCCGATGCTCACTGCAGCAGTTCAGAGCACAGACTCAGGGTCAGGCTCTGGCTCTACCACTCACTGTTGTGTGACTTCGGTTCCGAGACCTCCTAGTGCTGGGGTTACTGAGACCTACCCTGCAGGGTTTGTGTGAGCAGGATAGTGTCTAGGGCAGTGCCTGGCAAGTTGCAAGTGTGCAATAAGTGTTACCTGTTATTACTATAAAAGTAAAACAAGAGCTTAGAAGCAGCATTGAAATATTTGTAGACGTTGGCCCTGGCCAGTTTGCTCAGCGGTTAGAGCATCAGCCTGCGGACCAAAGAGTTGCTGGTTCAATTTCAGCCAAGGCACTTACCTCGGTTGTGGTTGGGTCCCCGGCCCTGGTGGGAGTTGTGTGGGAGGCAGCCAATTGATGTGTCTCTCTCACATCAATGTTTCCCTCTCTCTCTCTCCCTCCCACTCTATCTGAAGATAGACAGAAAAATAGCCTCAGGTGAAGATTAAAAAAAAAAAAAAGGAATATTTGTACAGCCACCTGCCAGCCAGTAAGCTCCTTGTCTGTGTGATGGCCCTCCCTTTCCTACCTTTTCCTTGGGTCCCATGCCAAGGTGAATGCATTCTGATTACAGATAAGCTTGCCTCTCCTTTTTCTCTAATTCCACATGGGACTCTCCCATCTCTTCCAGTAATTGATTCTGGGATCACTGATGCAGATTTTAAAGTGCAGCTCTAGTTTCATCCCAGTGCTCATTACCCCTCCGTAACTTCCCATCAACTGCTGGCTTAGCAACCCTTTTTAGTGGGTGCTCAAGACCTTCATGTGGACCAGCCAACAGAGCAGGCGTCCTCCTCTCCCTCCTCCTTGCACATCCTCTGGCCTGCCAAGGCTGGCTATTGATGGTTGCCTGAGCACTCTGTGCTGTGCTGCTTTGTATCTTTTTCCATGCTTCTCCCTCTGTGGTTACTCTTATTTTCACCTGGAAACACCCTATCCAAACTCTCAGGCCGCCTCAAATCCCATCAACTCAGTCACTCACTTTCTGAATCCTTTTCTCCTGTTGATAATGAGCTATTGACATTCTCACCCACAGCTGCAGACCAGATACCGGCAACACTCAGAAACAGAGAGAGTATTTCAGGAGCTCAGAGGGTTTTGTAGAGCTGCACATCCTTGCCCATTTGAGGCAGAGAAGGTGCATGCAGTATTAGTCTGGTGTTGCTGGGGATGTGACTGAGACAGAGTGTAGATGGCTTATGGAAGCCCATCATTATCTGAACTGGAAATCAAGCCTCTGTTGCTTGCCATCTGCTTAGTCGATTGGCTACGTCTCCTGTACCAGAGTTGGGGAAGAACCGCTGTTTATATCCTTGAAACCCCAGGGGAAAGGTTCAGGGTGAAGTTGTTGCACACAGGGTTGGAGGTGGGAGTCCGGAGTCTTGAGGAGAGTGCTGTGGAAGGAGGAGAGGTGCAGAGGCTATGGCTACTGTGTGCTTCTTGTTCCTGGGTCAGCAGGACTTTTGTCATCTTGTGCTGCAGATCACCGGGATGACCTGTGCTTCCTGTGTTCACAACATAGAGTCCAAACTCACGAGTACGGATGGCATCATCGAAGCCACTGTGGCCCTTGCAACCAGCAAAGCCCACGTAAAGTTTGACCCTGAAATTATCGGTCCACGGGATATTGTTAAAATTATTGAGGTAAGTCAGTCATTTAAAAAATTATTCCCACCTTCTAAAAAACTAATTTATACCCATTGTAAAGGGAGAGAAAATGCAGCTAAGCAAAGAAAAAAAAAGGTCACCTAATATTCTTCAACTTTTCCAATGGAAATAAGGTGAACCATTTTATTATTATTATTTTAATATTTTTTCTTTATTGATTTTAGAGGGAGAGGAAGGAAGAGAAAGAGATAGAAACATTGAGGAGAGAGAACATCAATTGGCCACCTCCTGCATGTCCCCCACTGGGGATTGGAGCCACAATGTGGGCATGTGCCCTGACCGGGAATCAAACCGGCGACCTCTTGGTGCATGGGTAGATGCTCAGCCACTGAGCCACACCAGCTGGGCAGGTGAACCATTTTGAAATAGGCTGAAGTTAAATGAATATCAGATATTCTAAGGGGAAAATCAGTGAATGAATAAGAACGTTGGAGGGAAAAAAGACGTTACTGTTTTAATTTCAGATATTCCCTGAGAAACATCAGTATTGCCAAGATACCTGGTACATGGGGTTAAATTACCTAAGCATACTTTTTAGATATGATTTATGTCTGTGCCAAGTATCTGTAGACCAAAGAAATGTTGATATTTGAAAGAATTATTCTGCATTTTGCCGCTATGCTAGGACTGCTTTATAATGGGAGAGTTTGGTAATTTCTCCTATAGAAAATCAATTAGAGTAGTTTTCACACACTCTACCTCTCTGTCCACTCAGTTTGTTCACAGACATACCATTTCACTGTTAAGGTCTATATGGTATACCACACCATTAGAGGAAGAGCGTTAGTGGTGATCTGAAGGGGTTAAGACCGTCAAAACCAAACAACATGAACTTGTAACAACTAATGGTAAGAGTAAATGAGGTTTAGCAGAAACCACTACTTACGAAGTTTCTTATGAAATGAAACATCTTGTAGCAGGTTTAATCTCGTCTTTCATTTTCTCTGTTGTGTGTGTATGTGTGAGCACATGTGCATGTGTGAGTGTGCCCATGTGTCACGTCATGTGTTTTTAAGAGGGATGTCTGTTGAATGGCCTAGAGCTTTGTGACATGAAAACAGTACTGTGGCTCTGCACTGCTGGACAATGCCTTAGAGGCAGACCACACAGCTTCTTGATCAGGTGAGGAAAGATCCCAAGAAGGGTTAAGTACTTTGCTCACTGATGCACAGCTAACGGTTGCAGGGCTGGCTTTCAAACCCAGCTCTTACGGTTCCATGCTCAGTGGCCTTTCTGTTTCTGCCACACCACAGGTCTGTGATAGGGCACTCATGGGGCTGAGAAGCCAGACTGATGCACCAAGTAGTAGGGAGAGTCAAGGTGGTACTTCAAACAGGCTCAGTACTTTTCCCATGTATAAAGCTCTTGCTGGCATCCATGCAGCTCTCTGAGCCTGGCATGGCCCCCACTTTGTCCTTACTTGAGGAAGTTTGCCAATGTCTGGCCTCCTTTCTTGTGATTCTGGGGCATCTTTTCCTGGTATGATTGGGCCGGTATTAGTTGTGAAAGGATTTGTCTTTAGACAATCACAGAAGCCCTTTCTTCCACCACAGCTTTAAATTTTGCATAAAATCCCAATACCAGAGTTCTGGGCCCCTCTTTATATTGTGCTGGCCGACAAGACATTTCCTGACAGCTTTTACTGTGTGTATTCATAAAGAATATCTGAGATTTAGTGATCAGATCAAATAAGGCAGAGAGGGCAAAGAAGTGAGGCCGCAAAGGAAACGCTTGAATCCCTTAAAACAGCACCAGATTGCCGTGTGGTCTCTGGCCGCAGTGGAAGCCACAGCTTGCAGACACTGAAGTAGCCAAGGTCTGCTCAGTGTGAAGAGGCCGGGAGCCTGGAGAGATGAGCTCTGGATCTAGGACTTCTGATAGTGCTGTGCCTTTGGGCAGGGTATTTAACCTCTGTTTCCTCATGCAGAGAACGGATAGCAGCTGACAACTCTATATTTGAGTTTACAACTCGGCACTGATCAGCTTTGGGGCATGCTGACGCCATCTCCCAGAACTACTGCCTTTGTTGACAGAAGGAACAGGAATTGCTGTCTGAAGCCTTCTCCTTATGCTAGAGCATTAAGCCTAGATGGTGCTGACCCTCTGACAGCACTTGTAGAGTCATTTGGGTAAAGAAGTTGTGGGAGGAAAAAACTGTATTCCTCTGAGGTGATTTTAGATTAACTTTCTAATTTCAAAATATGTAAAATGCTTTCTACCAATGCATGTTTTAACCCAGTGCCTTCCTCCTTGTTTCCCACTCCTCTCTTTTTCATAACAAGGACATCGGCTTTCATGCTTCTGTGGCCCAGAGAAACCCCAGCGCTCATCACCTGGACCACAAGGTGGAAATAAAGCAGTAGGTAGAACAGAAGAGATCAACGAAAGCCCTCGTCTTCCTCTCCCTGGGCCTGGCCCTGCCTTACTCTGCGCTTCTCTGTGTCCCTGCTGCCCTGGCTGCCCAGTGTCATCCACTTGGATTGGTTGCCTTTACGCCTATCCTGTTAACCCTCTGATGCTGTCCCCTAGACCTGCTGTGACAGAGGTGTTCGGTGTCTGCACGGCCCAGTGTGCTAGCCACTAGCTACCGAGTATTCAAAATGAAGCTGATGTGACTGAGGAACCAAATTTTTAATTTTATTTAATTTTAACTAATTTAAATTTAAATAGCCACCTATGGCTGGTGGCTAACAGATGGGACAGCACTTAGGTTGGAAGGAAGGGAGCGTGGATTTTTTTCTTTTATAGTATTTTAATACTTTATTTGAATGGGTGCTAGAACTAGAATCCAAGGACAAGAATCATGGCCAATGGGAAGAAAATGACCTGGGAAGCAGGAGACCTGAGTTCATTCATTGTTTCAGATGTTCACATATTCGTTCAGTAAACAAGGCTGCTGTTGTGTGCAGGGCACTGTGCTAGGTGTAGGGGATGGATAGAATGTCCTACTTTTGAGGTGCCCATACTCTGGCTGGGAAAGAGTAGATGAACAATGATTCAGGGGAGTCCTGGGAGCTCCGGGAGCCAACAGAGGACACATGATCTGGGCCTCAATGAATAAGTGACTTTCCTGGGCTGAGGGAATGGGGGTAGAAGTGAGGGTCCTCTAGGGCACAGTGGCAGGGGGACTTCAGGGACTCTGAGGTGGTTTAATGGGGTTGGAATGCCTGCAACACAGGCGGGCTGGCAGGAGAGCTGTCTAAAAAGCTAGTGGGGGCTAAATTTTTGGGTCTTGGGCAGCCACTTGCAGGTATGAGACTTGAATCTCAGAGGCAGTGGTTTCCAGACCGGGGTTAAGGTGCATCCACTTAGAATGTCATGGATGCTGAAGCTAATGTGAGACCACAGCTGTCGCCGATGACCCACCCCATTTCAAACTTCGATGTTCAGCAAGACAGCTTCATTGTTCTCACTGACTCTATTTTAAGCAGCAGTTTAAAAAGTACATGTATAAGTAAGTTAATACTAATAAAAGATTACTTTTATCTGTTTTTCCTAGGAATTTGTATAAGATTGCATTTTGAAAAAAGAGCTGTAGGCAGCCATAGATGGAGATCCCCCTTGGGCTGGAATCTCAGCTTCTGGGCCTCGCTTGCCTCACCTATAGGTTAAAGCTAACACGTCAGCCATGGGTAGGCAAGGGCTTGTTCTAAACATCTCAGGAATGTCCTTTAGATACTCCCTGAGATGGCCTGTGTCAAGGAGAGAGCCTTCTTTTTGTTTTAGCCCTTGGTAGTCTGTCCCACACAGGTGACAAAGGCAAGTCTTAAGCTGAGTTCTCAAGAGGGACCCAGCCATAATCCAAGTGGCAGGCAGTACCTAATGTGTCGGTGTTGCTCATTGCTTTCCAGGTGGAAGAAGTCTTTCTTATGCAGCTTGGTGTTTGGCATTCCTGTTATGGGTTTAATGATCTATATGTTGATACCCAGCAATGAACCCCACGAGTCTATGGCCCTGGACCACAACATCATTCCGGGATTGTCCATCCTAAATCTCATCTTCTTTATCTTGTGTACCTTTGTCCAGGTGTGTATCAGAAAGAGGGTCAGACCTCTGCCCTTCATGCTCGTGCGTGACCAGTGCTTTATTGTAGCTTTCCTGACCCACCCCAGCCAGTTGCTGCTTTTTTCTATCTTATGACCAGCAGCAGGGTATCCTCTAACACAGAGGACTTAGAAGAATCTGGTTTCACTGTTCATTACTGTGTTGATTGCAGGTGATTGATGTCTCCCTGACATAGCAACCACCTTGCTGCAAGGATAGGTAAACAAGCTGTCTTCAGTTTGCTTATTGTTTAGCTTAATTTACCTTTGTTGTTAGAAACAGCAGTTGGATCACTGTGGAGCTCATGTTTCTCTCTCTCTGTATTTTTTTGTTTGTTTGTTTGTTTTTTTGGTTAATCCTCACCCAAGTATATTTTTCCATTGATATTTAGAGAGAGTGGAAGGGAAGGAGGGAGAGAAAGCAAGCGAGAGAAGCAGCAATGTGACAGAGACACATTGATAGGTTGCCCCGACTGGGCCTGGGGATTGAAGCTGCAACCCAGGCACAAGTTCTTGGCTGGAAATCAAACCCAAGACCCTTTGGTCCCTGGGCTGATGCTTTAACTGCTGAGCCAAACCAGTCAGGGCTCATGCTTCTCTTTAACATCCCGAGTGGCAGAAATGTGGTTCTGAGATTATCATTTAAAAGAGAGGGACTAATGGAACTTATCATCTGGGGGCAATATTAAGGAACTAGCCATGTTTCTATTGGGAAGTGTGGCCTCTATATTTTGGAACATAGAGTAAAACTCCTGACTTAATATTAAAATGTTTAGGACTATCTAAGGGCAAGTCTTTGTCAGCTAAATTTTTTTTTAAATTCTAAATGTAATGTACATTTATTATAAACAATTCAAGACATGCTGAAGTACAAAAAAGAGGAAGGTAGTCTTTCAGTGCACAAACCCTGCCTCCAGCCCAGTGCCATTCCCCAGGGTCACCTTCTTTTATTACTAGTTGGTTGTGTATCTTTCATCTATATAGATAACATTACGTGTATGTGTGTGTGTGTGTGTGTGCATGTTCACATAAGGCAGACACATTGCATTAGATGTAGTGATTTATAACTATTTCCACTTAATCATGTGCATCTTGCACTCTAGTGGTTTATGGATCCAGCATATTCTTCTTAGTGGCTGTGTAGCATTGGCCACAGTGTCAGTGAAGTGTGCCTTATTTCACCTTTGTCACCATTCTCCTACAATGGACATTTAGGTTGTGTGTTCTGAGTTTTAAAGGTCTCTCATGCCCTTTGATTATCCGTTCCTGTGGCCATTAGTCCTCTGAATCAGTAAATATATTTCAAAAACATTGATTACAGAGGAAAAAATCAAATCAAATTGGGGTGAACCTAGTGTATTTGCCAGCCGAGGTGCCTCCGGGCCTCCATTTGCTCCTTGAACGCCGCCCTGCTTGTTTCAGCCGTCACTTTGTCCGTCACTTTGTCCGTCTTTCAGTTCCTCGGTGGGTGGTACTTCTACGTTCAGGCCTACAAGTCTTTGAGACACAGGGCAGCCAACATGGATGTGCTCATCGTGCTGGCCACGAGCATCGCCTACGTCTACTCTGTGATCATCCTGGTGGTGGCCATTGCTGAGAAGGCCGAGAGGAGCCCCGTGACCTTCTTTGACACTCCCCCCATGCTGTTCGTGTTCATTGCCCTGGGGCGGTGGCTGGAACATGTGGCAAAGGTAAATGCAGCTAAATGTGAAAGGAACTGTTCCTTCAGTAATACAAATCTTAATTCATCTGAACACCATGTTTAGAGTTACTAATTATATACAATCTAGAGCAAGACTTAAAAGAAATGTGAAACCTACATATAATTAGGTGCTTTGATCACTAATCTCCAAATTGGTCACTACTTCTGAAATCCCAGCTAATCTGGTTAATTATTAAAAGCTTTGTTCAGGTGCCTTGTGTCATTGAAAGAACCCTGGGTTTCAGGTCAGAGGTCATACCGTCTTTTAGTACATAACTGAGTATCCAACTTATTAGGCTAGAAATCCACATTTCCACCTTAGGATCATGCCATTTTTGATAACCTGCATCTTACTCAGCATCTTAATGTATCATAAATGTGTGGGGCTCTGGCCCTGAAAGCAATAGGCTTGAACCTAAAAGAAAACTGTCAGTGGGCAGATTGGTATTGTTTTTTTAGTCTGAAATGTAATCAGTTGAACTGTGGCATTTGTGCATTCAGTGTTGCCATGACATGGCTGCGTGTGGACACATGGTGTGTCCCATTGTCCAGGAGAGCCCTTTGGTGTGCTGTATTAAGGGGCAGCCATTTCCTACAGGGGTCAGTTTATGATAGTTCTCATTTTACATTCTGGTTATTTCTTAGAGCAAAACCTCAGAAGCCCTTGCCAAACTCATGTCTCTCCAAGCCACAGAAGCCACCGTCGTGACCCTTGGCGAGGACAACTTAATCATCAGGTAGGTTATCTTCATCCAGAGTGCTTGGTCAGTTTATGTCATGCACATCAAATAGCCATCATGTACATGACACTAGACCTCATGAAGGCTGGCAAAGACTTGTACAATGAGATCCCTCCTTCAATCCAGTTATGGACACCAGACATTTTTAAAATTTTTTTAATTTTATTGATTTTTTAGAGAGAGAGAAAGGGAGCAGGAAAGAGAGAACATCGACGAAAGAGAGAAGCATCAACATTGATTGGCTGCTTCCTGCACAACCCCTACCAGGGATCGAGCCCACAACCCAGGCACGTGCCCTGACTGGGAACTGAACCATCAACCATTTGGTGCATAGGTCGATGCTCAACCACTGAGCCACGCCAGCCAGGCTGGATACCAGACATTTAAATATCAAGAGATAAGCATGAGCTCAGAGTGGTGTATGTCGCTAAATGATAAATGAGACCTGCAGACAGTCTGTAGCCCTGGAATTTAGAGGAGGAAGGCCTGTGGTGGTCAAGGAAATCTTCACCGGAAACATGAACTATGAGCTGGGCCTTCCTTGCAAGATTTCAGACAGGCTGAGAGATAAGGATTTCAACTTGCCAAAGAATAAAGAAGGAAGTAGTATTTTACTTCTTCACAAGGTTGGCAGCTATTAAAAATAATGATTATTTTCATTATTGCTGAAACTTATATAGTATTTACTGTTTGTAAGACCCTATTCTAACCTCTGTATTTAGTCTAAAGAAAATAAATAAATAAATAAATAAATAAATAAATAAATAAAACTTTGAGGAAGGGAATGTTTTAATTTTATTTTAAAGGTGAGGAAACTGAAGTTCAGAGAGGCTAAGCAACTGGCCCAGGGTCACACAGGTATTAAGAAGTTGAATTGTGATATAACTTAGGCTGTTGGTTTCAGAGTCCATATTCTTTACCCTGCATATACTGACTTTCAACAACAAAGATAATTTTTTTTTTTAAAGTATTACAGATGTCCCCATTTTTTTTTCCTCCACTGACCACCTTCACCCCGCTCCTGGCCCACCCCCAGGCCTTCACTTCACTGCACTATCGTCTGTGTCCATGGTTTATGCATATAAGTTCTTTGGTTAATCTCTTCCCACCCCCACGCCCCTTTTTCCCTCTGAGATTCCTCAATCTGTTCTATGCATCCATGCGTCTATTTCTGTTTTGTTCATCAGTTTGTTTTGTTCATTAGATTCTACATATAAGTAGGATAATGTGATGCTTGTCTTTCTCTGAATGGCTTATTTCACTTAGCATAGCACACTCCAGGTCCCTCCATGATGTCTCAAAGGTTAAGAGTCCTTTTTACAGCTGCATAGTATTCCATTGTGTATGTGTACCACAGCTTTTTTAATCTACTCATCTACTGATGGACACTTGGGCTGTTTCCAGACCTTAGCTACTGTACATTTGCTATGAACATAGGGTGCATGTATTCTTTCTCACTGGTATTTCAGGAATCTTAGGGTATTCCTAGAAGTGGGATCACTGGGTCAAATGGCAGTTCCATTTTTAATTTTTTGAGGAAACACCATATTGTTTTCTATAGTGGCTGCTCCAGTCTGCATTCCCACCAACAGTGTAATAGAGTCCCCTTTTCTTCACACCCTCACCAGCACTTTGGTGTTTGATGATTTGTTGATGGCAGCCATTCCGGCAGGTGTGAGGTGATACCTCATAGTCGTTTTAATTTGCATCTCTCTGATGATTGAGCATTTTTTCATATGTCTCTTGGCCATCTCTATGTCCTGTTTGGAGATGTGTCTATTTAGTTCCTCTGCCCATTTTTCAACTGAATTCTTTGTCTTCCTTTTGTTGAGTTGTATGAGTACTCTATATATTTTGGAAATTAACCCCTTATCCAATGTATCATGGGAAAATATGTTCTCCCATACAGTGGGATCCCTTTTTATTTTGCTGTACAGAAGCTTTTTATTTTAATGTAGTCCCATTTGTTTATTTTTCCTGTTTTCTTGCCCTAGGCAATGCATTGGTGAAAATTTTGATACATGAGATGTCTGAGATTTTGCTGCCTATGGTTTCTTCAAGGATTTTTGTGGTTTCGTGACTTACATTTAGTCTTTTATCCATTTTGAGTTTATTCTTGTGTATGGTACAAGTTGATCTAGTTATACTTTTTATGTACCTGTCCAATTTTCCCAACATGATATTGAAGAGACTGTCTTTACTGCATTGTATGCTCTTGTCTCCTTTGTCAAATAATAATTGAGCATAATGTATTGGGCTCTATGTTCTGTTCCATTGATCTATATGCCTGTTCTTATGTCAGTACCAGGCTGTTTTGATTACAATGGCTTTGTAGTATAATTTGCTCTCTGGTATTGTGATTCCCTCCAAGTTTATTCTTCTTTCTCAAGATTGCTATTCAGGGTTTTTTGGTTCCATATAAATTTTTGGAGTATTTGTTCTAGATCTGTGAGATATGCCACTGGTATTTTAATAGGGATTGTGTTGAATCTATAGATTGGTTTGGGTAATATGGACAATTTAATAATATTAATTCTTTTAATCCATGAACACAGTATATTCTTCCACTTGTTTGTATCTTCCTCTATTTCTTTTTTCAATGTCCTATAGCTTTCTGAGTACAGTTCTTTTACCTCCTTGGTTAAGTTTATTCCTAGGTATCTTAATTTTTTTGTTGTTGTTGCAATGGTAAATGGGATTGTCCTTTTAGTTTCTCTTTGTGAGAGTTCATTATTGGTGTATAAAAATGCCATCAATTTCTGGATGTTAATTTTGTATCCTGCTACTTTGTCAATTTAGTTTATTAAATCTAGGGTTTCTAGGGTTTCTAGTCTAGGGAGTCTTAGGGTTTTCTATGTACAGTATCATGTCATCTGCGAATAATGACAGTTTCACTTCCTTCTTTCCAATTTGGATGACTTTTATTTTTTCTTCTTGTCTGATTGCTGTGGCTAGGACATCCAATACTATGTTGAATAAGGGTGGTAAAAGCTGACATCCTGTCTTGTTCCTGTGCCCCCTCACAGCCTTGCAGGGTGGTGGTGGTGTGGTGAGTGCAGTTGGACCTTTAGATGCAGACAACATTGAATCCTCACTGCAGAGGATGTTTCTAACAGTTTTTTAAAAAGAAAATATTGATGTAAATCTGTCACATCTGTCTGCACAAACTGGTTCCTTAGTTTTAAACATTTATACACAATAACATTCCAAGACATGGGCATGTATGTTCAATTTTATGCCTTTCTAAGAAATCTTCAGGTTTTTGCCCAAATGGACGAATATCAATTACCTCTCATATGCTTTTGGGAAGATTCAGTGAGATAAGATGTGAAAATCCAGCACCATACCTGCACTCAGTAAATGTCTATTTATCTTTCTTACATAAATAAGGTGGCATTTTGTACATTCTCTCTGGTAGTTTAAATGTAGACTTTGTAGAATGAAAGGAAAGTATAAAACAACCTCAGAGTTCTGCCTGTTGTACATGCCCACTTTTCTGATTTTTTTCACCATTTGTTCTTGAGGCAGTGTTCTCTGTACAAGTAAGTATATTTGGCCTGTGTAATGCTTTTAGAGAGGGGCTGCCCAGCTGGTTGTGGTTCCCTGCATGGCCTCTCTCGCTTTCTCACTGTTCCTGCTGGTCCTCCTCCCTCTCTCTCTCACCATTCCCTCCAGCATACAATTCACATGCATGCACAATTCACGATATCCTATCTTAATTCACTCCCTCTTCCACTCCTGGTTTTTCTCTTCTTTCACATCAAAACTTCTTTTAAAAGTTGTCTTTATGCCCTGACTGGTTTGGCTCAGCAGTTACAGCGTTGACCCGTGGACCAAAGAGTCACGGGTTCGATTATGGTCAAGGGGACGTACCTTGGTTGCAATTTGGTCCCTGGCCCTGGTCGGGGTTGTATGGGAAGTAACCAATCGATGACATTGGTGTTTCTTTCTTTCTCTCCCTCTCTCCCTCCCACTCTGTCTGAAAATAAATGGAAAAATATCCTCGGGTAAGGATTAAAAAAAAGGTTGTCTCCACTTCACATTCGCTCTTCAGCCCATTCCAGTTGAGCTTCTGCCTCCATCAGTTTTGGCAATTGGCTTTTGGCAAAGACATCAAGTAATTTCCATGTACCCAAATCTAACCATTAATCTGCATTTTAACTTCTCAAGAGCATTTTTAGCATTTAATGTCCCTTAAATTTTTTGTGTTTATTAATATATAACTGAAGTACACAAATTTATTCTAAATTTAGAGCATGAGTTTTACATTTTTCCATCTGTGTACCGACATCTGCCTATTTGATATGGTGGCTGGGTGCTTGCTGCTTTGGATCCTCTCCTTTTCTTCTGCATTACTGGCTGGTCCTTCCACTCCTGCTCAACCTCCAAATATTGGTATGTCCGAGGGCTTTGTTCCAGGACTCCTTCTCCTTTCCTATTACGTTTCTAGGTAAGCTCATACCATTTCCTGGTTTTAAATGCATTTCTATTTTGTCAGTTCCCAGATTTGTACCTCGAGCCCTGTCCTCTTCTCTGAGCTCCAATCATATTTTCAATTTTCTACGTAACATGAGGTCAAATAAGCATCACAGGCCCGACAGGTTAAAATGGAGCTCTTCCGTTCATCTCCTCTTCCCTCTCCCTCCCTTAGCTTCTTCTCCATAGTTGTTCTCATTTCATTAAATGATTTCTCATCCACCCCGCGGCTTACACCGAAGATTGAGAGCTCATCTTTGATTCTTCCCCTGTGCATTTAGTGCATTTGCACATCTTATTGATGCAGGCCCTAAACACTTCCTGGGGATTTCTTCACTCCATCTCTAGCCGTATCTTCGGCATCTTTTGCCTGGGTGGCTGCCCAACTTCTCTTCTCTCAGTTTCTGTTACTGTCTCTACAGCCCGTTCTCATGCAGCAGCCAGAGAGGTGGAAATGTGGATCAGATTATGTCATTTCCCACAGAAAACCCTGCATTCAAGCACACAGCTTTGCTCTGCAAGATCCAGTGTGATTGGCATTCTGCCTGCCTCACTCACTTTCTAGCAGAGCTCACCGGCTTCCTGCTTCTCAAAAGCACCCTTTCTGCCTGCCTTGGGGCTTGCATTAGCTGTTTCTCCTCCCTTGAATGTTCTTTTCCCCGTATTTTGGCCTCTTGTCATCAGGTCTCAGCTCAAATGTCATCGTCCAAGTGAGGCCTTCTCGTTTTTCTCCTCCCCGTACAACCAAAGAATCCCTCCAGCCAAATTTTCATCACAGCACTTGTTTAATACCCGGAACTCATTTGTTTTGTTCTCTGTTTCCTCCACAAAATTTGTCTTGATGAGGGTGAGGACTTTGCTGTCCCAGTCACAGCTATATTCCCAGTGCCTAGTACAGTGCCTGGCACTTAATAGTGGCACAATAAATACTGACTCAGTCTGTAACTGACAGATAAAATACATACTGCGGAGACACATCGAAGATGGCGGGTAGGTAAACGCCGTATCGCGTCCTCCCACAGCCACATCAAAGTTACAACTAAACTACAGAACAACCATCATTCAAAACCGCCTGAAATCAAGCTGAATGGAAGTCCTCCAACTACAGAATTAAAGCAGCAGCCACATCCAGACTGGTAGGAGGGGCAGCGGCAGTGCGATGGGCTGGTCCCACACCCAAGTGTGGCGGATAAAAATCAGGAGGACACCTCGGCTGGGAAGGTCCTTCCTGAGGACTGAGGGGTCTCCGTCCCACACCAGGTGCCCCGCTCAGGGTTCCAGTGCCAGGAAGAGAAGTCCCCATAACTTCTGGCTGGAAAAACCAGCGGGAACTGAGGCTCAGGGAAGCTGAAGCGGCTGGAGCCCCAGGCAGCTCCCTAAAGGGCCGGCGCACGGACTGATTGGACTCTCTCCCTCTAAGCTTGGAGGGGAGGCAGCTCGAGGGGCGCCAGAGACATACAGGGAAGAACTGAGCTGTTTGGCGCTGGAGCGAGGGCTGGAGAGGGGGTTTTCTCCGGGACAAACATGCTGTCAGAGACCTTTGTTCCTTTGGTGAGCCCTTCCCGGGGGCAGCATGCAGTCTCCATACCTGGGACTCCAGCAACCTGGCTCACACTGGTAGCCCCGCCCTGGTGACTCCCTGAGGCCCCACCCCGCCCCACCCAACTTTCCAGCCCACCCAAGCTGTTGCCACTTGCTTAACCATAGGATTGGCCGGTCTTGGATCCTGCTTCAGGTTTTTCCTAAATTCTTTCAAACAAGCAGCATCTGGTCTCAGCGAGCCCTATACCTCTCATTAAGTAATACACTGAAACAAACACAAGGAGGCAGCCAAAATGAGGAGACAAAGAAACAGGTCCCAAATGAAAAAACAGAACAAAACCCTAATAAAAGAACTAAGCAAAATGGAGATAAGCAACCTAACAGATACTGAGTTCAAAATACTGCTTATAAGGATGCTCAATGAACTTAGTGAGAACCTTAGTGAACTTAGGGAGGGCCTCAAGAGCATAAAAAAGGACCAGTTAGAAATCATGGATACATAGTTAGAATTGAAGGAAGCATTAACTGAAATAAAGAATAATTTACACAGCTTCAATAATAGAGTACATAAATCTAAGGAGCAAACCATCAATTTGGAATATAAGGAAGCAAAAAATGCCCAATCAGAACAGCAAAAAGAAAAAAGAATCCAACAAAATGAGTATGGTGTAAGGAGCCTCTGGGACAACTTCAAGCGTGCCAACATTCGCATCTTGGGGGTGCCAGAAGGAGAAGAGAGAGAACAAGAAATCGAAAACCTGTTTGAAACAATAATGGCAGAAAACTTCCCTAACTTGGTGAAGGAAACAGACATACAAGTCCAGGAAGCACAGAGAGTCCCAAACAAGATGAACCCCAAGAGGCCCACACCAAGACACATCATCATCAAAATGCAAAAGGTTCAAGACAAAGAGAAAATCTTAAAAGCAGCAAGAGAAAGGCAGCTAGTTACCTACAAGGGAGTTCCCATAATGCTGTCAGCTGATTTCTCAAAAGAAACTTTGCAGGCCAGAAGGGAGTGGCAAGAAATATTCAGAGTGATGAAAAGCAAGAACCTACAACCAAAATCACTCTATCCTGCAAAGCTGTCATTTAGAATCGATGGCCAGCCCTGGCCGGTTTGGCTCAGCGGTTAAAGCATCGGCCTGCAGTCCTGAGAGACCCGGGTTTGGTTCCCGCTAAGGGCATGTACCTCGGTTGCAGTTTGTCCCTGGCTCTGGTCAGTCGTGCGGGTGGCAGCCACTCGATGTGTCCCTTTCACATCGATGTTTCTCTCTCTCTCTCTGTTCCTCTCTCTCCCTCCCACTCTACCTGAACAAAAAATGGAAAAGTGTCCTCAGGTGAGGATAAAAAAAAAGAATCGATGGCCATATAAAAACTTTCCCAGACAAGAAAAAGTTAAAGGAGTTCATCACTACCAAACCGTTATTATATGAAATGATGAAGGGTCTTTTTGAAGAAAAAGATAAAATGTATGAACAAACAAAATGGCAATGAATACATATCTATCAACAATAGAATCTACAAACAAAATGAATAGGTAGAACAGAAACATTCTCATAGATACAGAGAACATTTTGTTGGTTGCCAGTTGGGAGGGGGTTTGAGGGAATGGGTGAAAAATGTGAAGGGATTAAGAAGTACAAATTCATTGCTAGACTGACAAACCTCAAAGGGAAAGGGGTTAGGGGGGTGGGAAGAAATAAACCAAAGAACTTACATGCATAACCAATGGACACAGACAATAGTGTGGGAAAAGGTGGGAAGGGGGCGGGAGTGGGGAGGATGGGGGTCAATGAGGGAAAAATGTGGAACATTTGTAATACATTTTACATCCAACAATAAAGATTTGAAAAAAAAAAAGAGAGAGAAAAAAATAATGAATACTGCTGCTCAGTGTAAAGCAAGTATAATGTAATCGATCCAACAGTTCTCCTAGAACCTGGCCTGGATGACAGACCACGAGGGTGAGCTCCAGTGAGTGGCCATGAGTGTAACTTGAATGGCATTTGTTGCAGAGAGGATCAAGTACCCATGGAGCTGGTGCAGCGGGGTGATGTCATCAAGGTTGTGCCAGGGGGAAAGTTCCCAGTGGATGGGAAAGTCCTAGAAGGCAATACCATGGCCGACGAGTCCCTCATCACAGGTTTGGTCTCTTGTTTTACGTTCCCTTTGGGTGGGTATCAGTGCAGTTGCAGGTCCCATGAATGTTGAATGGGGCTTAGTGGATGACAGTTGGTCTCTGTCCTCCCCCTCTAGGAGAAGCCATGCCAGTCACTAAGAAACCAGGAAGCACAGTAATTGCTGGGTCTATAAATGCACATGGCTCTGTGCTGGTTAATGCCACCCACGTGGGCAACGACACCACTTTGGCTCAGATTGTGAAACTGGTGGAAGAGGCTCAGATGTCAAAGGTAATGAAAAAATGTAAAGAACAGTATCACTTCTGCTTCCTTATTTTAGAAATCATCCCAAGAGTTCCATAGAATCAGGGAGATATCATTGAGTGAGGAGCCATGAGGGAGCTGAGAATCCCAGTCCTTGTCCATTCTTATTCGTTGTTGTTAATCCTCACCCGAGGACATTTTTCCATTGATAATAGTTTTTTTTAGAGAGCATGGAAGGGAGGGAGGGAAACGGGAGATAGAGAAACATCAATGTGAGAGAGACACATTGATTGGTTGCTTCCTGCATGCACCCCAACCAGGGCCAGGATCGAACCTACAACCCAGGTATGTGCCCTTGACTGGGAATCAAACCCTTCAGTGTGCTGGCCAGTGCTCTAACCACCAGCCTGGACTCCTTGTCCATTTATGTGGTGTTTTCATTGCTTTGTAGATTGTAATTTCCTGTGATCTTGGTGTTTTATTTTCATAGGCACCCATTCAGCAACTGGCTGACCGGTTTAGTGGATACTTTGTCCCATTTATCATCATCATTTCAACTTTGACGTTGGTGGTATGGATTATAATCGGTTTTATCGATTTTGGTGTTGTTCAGAAATACTTTCCTGTAAGTTGAATGCTATTAGCCATATGGTTGTTGCGTTTGATATAATCTATTGTCATTAACCCTATTCTTTCATGTCTTAGATTCAGTGGGCTTTAATTACTTGTTATATTTTATTTGCTTGCTTTACTTATTGACAGCAAAATCTTCACCATGGTAGGAAATTGGTCACTTTACTTTTGCAGGATTTTATTAAAGATGGTCTTTGCTTCCTAGTTAGATAATTTCAGACACTAGTTGGCTCTCAGTACAGTGCCGCAGGCATTTACATTATGTGGTATTGCCCATTCTGGGAGTTATGGGGCACATACCATAGAAGATGGGTGACTTTGGATTTTGATGACATGCATGATAATGTTAATTAACAAATTTTATTTATTTTTTACTTTTTTTTTTTTAGCAAGAGAGGAAGGGAGAGAGAGAGAAAAACATCAATGTGAGAGAGAAACATCGTTTAGCTGCTCCCTGCGCACCCACTACTGGGGATCAAGCCTGCAACCCCAGGCATGTTCCCTGACCAGGAATTGAACCGGGACCTCTCAGTTCATGGGACAATGGTCAGTCGACTGAGCCACACCAGCCAGGCTATTTAACAAATTTTTAAAAATACTAATTTTGGCTGTCTATGTCCATAAATACCACTTTAATGATGCAGCTTCCCAAAAAATACTAATGTCTTTTTAGAAAATATTTATTAAACATTATATATGAGGTAATGTAATACTATACATTTTTGAATTTAAAAAGTGGATGAAGAATACTATCATAAGAAATATAGTTTTATTAAACTTTTAAAAAGGAGGAAAATAGCCCTGGCCGGTTTGGCTCAGCGGTTGGAGCGTCGACCTGCGGTACAGAGAGACCCGGGTTCGGTTCCCACTAAGGGCACGTACCTCGGTTGCAGTTTGTCCCTGGCCCTGGTTGGTCGTGCGGGTGGCAGCCACTCGATGTGTTCCTTCACATCGATGTTTCTCTCTCTCTCTCTGTTCCTCTCTCTCCCTCCCGCTCTATCTGAACAAAAAATGAAAAAAAAAAAAAAAAAAAAATGTCCTCTGGTGAGGATAAAAAGGTGGAAAATAACTTTTAAAAAAACCAAAAACTTTTCTGCTTCAGGAATTAGAACTTAGCAATTCTCCATCAGCAGTGCTTTCTGTCAGCATAGGGACATTTGGCCATGTGCGGAGACACTTTGGTCGTCGTGACTGGGGAGCGGTTGCTGCCAGCACTCGATGGTGCACAGGCCGGCCCCACAGCAAAGGATTGTCCGGCCCCAAATGGCAGCAGTGCTGAGGTTGAGAAACCCTGATATTCATTGAAAAGCTAATGGCTCACTTAGAGTAGTATTTGATAACTGCCCAGTGAGTAGAACAGTGTTTTACCTTATTTCTCAAAAATATCTTATACTTAGCCCAGTGTAATGTGTATTTTACCTTAAGAGCCACAGAATAAGAAACTGTAACTATGGAATGGATTATACTTAAAAACAAATTTTTTTTACCCATAATTAAAGGCATATCGTGTTCTTGGGGTACATGTCATTCACTAAGATGTCATTTTCTCTCTCATTTTCTGTCATAAAATGAAAAATGTCCAAGTTACATACTTTCTGACATCTAAGGAGATCTCATGTTTTTAAGAGTAAACCTATGACTGTACTCCTAGAAGGTGCCACTGGCTACTGTGGCACTGACTGTCTACAGTGGCTGCTTTTGTGGGAGAGCAGCTCACTGGTATGTGGCTGTGGGAAAACTCAGTCCTAAACAAGTTGAATATGTGGCTTTCTGCTGTTCCCTGCCTTTCTGTCTTACTTCGGCTTCTTTTGTTTTATCTGCAATATCAGGGAGGATGCTGGCAACTGAGGTACTGCATGTTCCTTTAAGATACTGTTATCCCCATGCTACATAAAATCATTGTAGGGACAGGGTTCACCAACCTCTAGAAGTCCACCCAATCCCATCACAGTGCCAGGTTTTACTTTGTTACGAATTACTGTGTTTGTTCTGACCAGTTTGCGGTTAGAGCATCGGCCTGCGGTCTAGAGAGACCTGGTTCGGTTTCCGCTAAGGGCACGTACCTCGGTTGCAGTTTGTCCCCGGCCCTGGTTGGGTCGTGTGGATGGCAGCCACTCAATGTGTCCCTTTCATGTCAATGTTTCTCTCTCTCTCCCTCCCTCTCTCTCTCTCTCTCTTTCTCTCTTTCTCTATCTCTGTCCGTCTCTCTCTCTTCCTCTCTATCTGAACAAAAAAATGGAAAAATGTCCTCGGGTAAGTATAAAAAAAAAAAAAGAATTACTGTGTTCTTGTTTTTATTTTTTTCTTTATTAATTTTTAGAGAGGAAAGGAGAGGGAGAGAGAGAAACATCAATGAGAGAGAACATTGACTGGCCGCCTCCTGCATGGTCTCCACTGGGGATTGGGCCCAGAACCTGGGCATGTGCCCTAACTAGGAATCGAACCAGCAACCTCAACAAGTGAGCCACACCGGCCAAGCTTGTTTTTGTTTTTAAACACACACATCATTTTGCCTCTAAGAATTGCATTATGTCTTAAACAGCATGTCCCTCTACCTAAGTCCAACTGTTTCTATGAAAATTAAGTGACCCTTTGATACTATATCTTATTTTAGAATCCTGCCTTTCAAAAAAATATATATGTCAGTGGAAGCTAAGGAGATTGTGGTCTGTATCCTTGGTTTAGAAAACATGCTTTTTATTGTAATTAAGTGACTATAGTATCTCCCGAATGAACTCCAGAGACACCAGCCATTTTAAAAATAAACCAAGAAATATCAAGATGTCAGAATGCAAATAATATCAGTATGTGTCACCATACCTGGAAAGGCGACCCATACTTTGTTTTGGATTTACAAAGGCAACAACAACACTGATTAGTATTCTGTGTGATGTCTCATCTCACTCTCCACCTGCCTCTTGCCTCTTTTCAGACCCCCAACAAGCACATCTCCCGGGCAGAGGTGATCATCCGCTTTGCGTTCCAGACGTCCATCACAGTGCTGTGCATTGCCTGCCCCTGCTCGCTGGGCTTGGCCACACCCACGGCGGTCATGGTGGGCACTGGCGTGGCTGCCCAGAACGGCATCCTCATCAAGGGGGGCAAGCCTCTGGAGATGGCGCACAAGGTCGGCCCGCACTGCAGTGCTCCTGGCTGTCCTTTGGGAATCTTGGCTGGGATGATTTTGTAGCTGTTTACTATATGATTTTTTTTTTAAACTTAGAGGTCTAGTGAAAATGGCATCTGTTTAAATTTCTATTGAGAGATAAACTTGAAAGAGGCCTGAGGGACAGCACTGTTAAGTAGAACAGGAAGCCGGGACTGACGGAATGATAGCAGCAACAGCAGCCGACAGAATTAAACATCTCATAAATATTAGTTGTTTCGATCTAATCAACAACTCTGAGGTTGTGCCTATTATTCAGATGAGGGGCTGCAGCAGGAGGAGGCACAGTAACTTACCCAAGGCCTGCGGCTATGAAATGGCAGAGCCAGGATTCATACCTGGAGAAGAGGACCAACTGTGCCCTCTGTGGTCAGCAGTGGCGTCCTGTGACCTTGGGGAGTGGAATAATGGGCAACAGTGTATGAAGAATCTTTCTTTGGCCAAACATACTGATCCTTAACCTTCCATTGATCGACTCAGTATTTGTTGATCGTTTACTACGTGAGGTCTTTGGTTGGCCCTGGCTTGGTCTTTGGCTATCAAGGACAGGGAAAGTCAAGTATGGAGTAAGCCAACAACAAATGCTGCGAGGCAGGGTGAGAGGCCGTAGGCCGGTGTAACAGGCCCAACTTGGACTGGACTGGGCATGGGTAGTGGTGCAGGTGGCCAGGGAAGGAAATACAAAAGGTTAATCTGAGGCTTAGCAGCTGAGCAAGAGTTAGCCAGAAAATGGAGGTTGGGAAGAATGTTCTGGCAGCTGGAGAAGCATATGGAAAGGACCTGGGGAGAAAGGGTTGGGAGGGGGTGTTATACTGCTGTGTCTTAGACTCGAAGACAACTTTTCTCACCATGGTATCCCCGGTGTCTTGCCCGGTGCCTGGCACATTGAAAACACTCAACAGTTATTTGCTGAGTAATAAATGAGGACCTGAAAGAAAACCATGGAGGGAGAGAGAAACTGATAGGAGATCAGGCTGCTGAGGGAGAAAGGGGGGGGAGAGGGCCTTGAAGGACCTGGGAGGTTCATTAAAGGGTTAGGAACTTAACCCGAAGAACAAGAAGGAGCCGTGGAAGGGTGTGAAGTGCCTTTGTGATGTGACTGGGTTACTTGTCGGGAAGATCTGGCTACAGAGGGAAGGATGGACTAAAAGGAAGCAAGAATTCTCGGGGGAAGACTAGTTGATAGTGCTGACGAGGCCCGCACGGAGCAGCAGAAACAAAAAGCCCATCTGTTATTTGCTACATAAGGGAGAACCGTGCTTGTGGGACAGTCTGAACAGCAAGCAGATGACTTTACTGGGGTTTGAGGAAGCCTGAGTCCAGGCATTGTTGGCCTCCAGCTATAGAAAAGCAGGTACCAGTGTGGCTGTTGCCAACTGGCTGAGCCCACCACGGGGACTGGTGCAAAGCTGCCACTGACCCGGTGGGACAAGTTTCAAAACTGGCTCCAGTGGTTCATTGTTATTGTGGCCAAGAAACACTCCCTTCCTTGAAGTTGGAGTGCGAGAGCTTTATTCTCAGTAGGCTTTTGCACTTATGCAGGCCAGAGAAAACCACGATGGACTCAGAGCCAGCAGGAGGGAGACAGGCCGACTCCCAGAGCCCTGGCTCCTGGTCTCACAAGGGGAAGCATCTGCAGTGTTACTGTCCCGGGGACAGCGACGTGGCCCTCTTGTTAAGTCAGTGAGAGTTTCTAGCTCAGCCTGGTTAAGGTTAAACCATGGTGGGGATTTTTTTGACTGGGCAGAGAGGGAAACAGTTTTTGCAGGGGGTGTGGTTGAACCTTGGCATTGAGTGCAGACAATTATGCCTGGAGTATGAAGGAGTCGTTACCTGCTTCAGGGAGTTTGAGTCAAGTTCTGCCTCAAGACTGTGGATTTTAAAGTCCCTTCCCTTTGTGTTTGTGGTGACTGAGATGTGATTGTTTTTGGCAGATTAAGACTGTGATGTTTGACAAAACGGGCACCATTACCCATGGGGTCCCCAAAGTCATGAGGGTCCTCTTGCTCGTGGACACGGCCACACTGCCCCTCAGGAAGGTTCTTGCTGTGGTGGGGACTGCGGAGGCCAGCAGCGAGCACCCCTTGGCTGTGGCTGTCACCAAATACTGCAAAGAGGTACGGAGACCTGGGTGTTGCTCGTCCTCTCACTCCTCCTCCGCGCCTCTTACCGTGAGGCTGGAACCTCCGAGCTCCGTCCTCCCAACGGGCTTTCTTCCCAGCTGCCTTCAAGGAGGCCTTGGTTTGTGGAGTCTGGAAAACCACGGAGCAGGCCCCCGGAGCAGTGGAGATGTGGCTGGCACATAGTTGGTCCTTTGTCACGTTTCCAGATTATCACAAAAGCAGCTCAGTGTTAACAGTCATTCACTGAGCATCTGTGCTTGGGACAACCAGTAAGGTGGGAACTGCCTCTGGGAGCTGCTCGCTGGTCGGGTGGGGAAGACAGATGGTGTATGAATCCAGTCCTTTATGAGCACTTAGTGCAAAGGGACACAAAACTGAATGAGGTCTTGGGTGAGGGAGGGAGAAATCCACTCAGCTGGGACATCGGAAATGGAGAGGAACCAGCAGAATCGAGCTGAACACCCAGTGGGTTCTCAGCACAGTTAGCAGGGAAGCATTTGTCTTTTGATCTTTCCAAATGAAGGGTCCTATTTAATTTTCTGTTTTCAGTCTGAATATAGAAGCAGAATGTGCCAGAATATTGCCCAGAAAAATGTAAACAGTCTGAGCAAATGCAGTTACCAGTAAATGTCGAGGGTGACATGAATTCCTTGAAAAAGTTGACAACTCTCCCTGGACAAGGAACCTGCAGGAATCTCACTTTGTGTTTCTACTCTTCATGTAGGGTCAGGCAGACCAGCAATTCACCTTGCACCTTCCTGATGTTTCAGGAAGGTTCTGTGCAGCCTCAGTCCCCCTTCCTTTGCTGTGTGTTTAAACCCACATGAAAATAGCACCTCACTTCTTCCTCCGGCCACATCCCTCCTTCCAGGGTCTGTCCATGGGCTGTTCTCTTTTCACAGTCTCAGAAGAACTTTGTTACCACTTGCCTTTTTCATCGTTTAAATGAAATTGCTTGCAGCATAAAAATAATACCTTTCTTATCTTTGGCACCTTTACACTACCCTATCCTTAATTTGAGATGTTTGATGTGAATTGCCTTTCTCCTTTCTAGTCTGAAACCTGCAAGTATCATGATGCATCCACCTAAGGAGAGAGTGTAGGCCATTTTATTTTGTTCAATTTAATGATTATAATGTCTGTGACAGAGAGAGAAAAGGAATTGCTGAGTTGATCAGCGTCTTCACCTTTTCCTACAGTTCTACTTCCCATCCCTCTTTTCCCTCAATTTCTGGGTGGGGCTGCTCTCTCACCCTCACCCCCCTCTCTGTCCGGCCTCCCTCTCACCTCCTCCTGTCTCTGTTTTCTGGTTCCTCTTCCTGCTCCCTCCTTCCCTTCTCAGGAACTTGGAACAGAGGCCCTGGGATACTGCATGGACTTCCAGGCTGTGCCAGGCTGTGGAATTGGCTGTAAAGTTAGCAGCGTGGAAGGCGTCCTGGCCCATAGCAAGCACCTGAGCGAACGGGCCACTCACCTGAGTGGGGTTGGCAGTGTCCCTGTACAAACAGGTATATCCCTAGCCTTTGTCTCTGCCACTCGGCCTGCAGGATTGGGTCCGGCCGGGTCAGGTGGCAGCGTGCCAAACCACAGAGCACCATGCCAGGCACGCCGCCTGATTCCCCCGCTGTGGAGAAAAGCGGCTCAGGGCAGGTGCACGGCACGCCTCCCTCCCCAGCAAAGCCTGAAGTTGCTCTTGTGTTCTGTGTTACTGCAAACCTTGATGCTAATGGCAGACAGAGTAGTCTGTTACGTGAATCTATAGAGTATTTCATAATTTTGAGTCTCCTCTTTCTTATCCCAAGTTAGCCTTGCTTGTAAGCTACAAAGTAGACAGATTCCTGGGAATTCTACTTGGTTCTTCCTAAACAGGAGCCTCCCACTGGTAGAACTCCGATGGGAAGCTCCACAGACAAGAGCTGGCAGCAGTCAGGGAACGCCGATGGGGTGGCCTGTCCACGCCAAGGAGAAGCACTGCTTTTGAATAATGGCCTTTCTTATTCTAAGGATAGGTTGGTAACCATCAGTGTAAGAGTGTGGAAACACACCACCCTCAAACCAAAGAAAACAAAAAATGGTGTCGAGTGTTTTAAGTATGTTGGTTGGTAGTTGAGTCTTTTATTTGTTGTTAATCCTCACCTGAGGGAGGGAGAAGAGGAGAGAGAGAGACTAACCAACATTGATGTGAGAGAGACACAATCAATTGGTTGCCTCCTGCATGCGTCCTGTCTTGGGCCAGTCATCAAACCTGCAACCCAAGTACCTGCCCTTGACTGGGAATTGAACTTGCGACCCTTTGGTGCGTGGGCCGGCGCTCTAACCACTGAGCAACACTGGCCAGGGCAGGTGAGTCTTAATGTAGATTTTACTGTTAGAAGCCATCTACCACCTTCTAGCAATTTAAAGCCAGAGGATGACCTTTCCATTTAATGTCCAGGGACTGGTTTGTACAGTGATGCCTAAGTTACTGACACACAGAGGTGACAGGTGAAAGACTCACCTGGCCTTTTAGGAGATATAGCTTTAAAACATTTCATAGAAGTAGGTGGGTTTTTCGCTGGCTCACCTCGGTTCGTCTCTACCACGCAGTGATGACTAGGCAGCACTTGCATTTGGTTCTGGAGAAGGAACTACCTGAGAAAGCAGCAACAGATTCTTCTAAGGCAGTGGTGGAGAACCGTCCTTCTGCCAAGGCCATTTGGATATTTATGACATCATCCTCAGGCCATACAAAATTATCAACTTAAAAACTAGCCTGCTGTATTTGGTCAGACCCTGAATGAACTCACCCCTAATGCGATGGCTGGAGCTGCTGCTCTGTGGTGAGGCCGTGACGCAGCTGGTGTTGGTTTCATGGGCCTCATGCGGCCCACAGGCCATGCGTTCCTGCCGTCCCTCCTCTAGAGGCAAATAGGGACACCACATAACACTCCATGTGTTTGTAACATTTTCACACATAGAAAATGCATCTTTTAATGCCCCATTTTAATTCATACCCACATGCTCTACACCTTAATTATACTTTTTCCCCTGGTTCCTTAAGATGGTGTTCTGAGAGGCCTTTACTAGTTTATAATTTCTCAGAATGGTTAAATGGGACATTTTGCTGTTAAAAGAATTCGTTCGTTTTTAGTAATTTCTCACAATGAAATTGTTCTATTTGGGAATAACCACAAACTCTTTTGAACAGATGTAGCCCCCGAGACGTTCTCTGTGCTGATTGGAAACCGAGAATGGATGAGGCGCAACGGCCTGGACGTCCCCAGCGCCGTCAGCGAGGCCATGGCGGAGCACGAGATGAGAGGCCAGACGGCCGTGCTCGCGGCCATTGACGGTATCCGCTGCCACCCTGCCTTCCGCTCGCACACGCCACACTTCCTGGAGATGTCAGGCAAAAACAAATTTCACCTTAAAAAAAACTGCCTTTCCATTAATTCTAGTTCTACTTTGTACAAGATTGAGTTGCCATCTTTCTCCCGTCATGCTCAGCCCGCGGCCTTTCCCGGGCTCTTTCTTCCTCTTTACCCAGAGCCAGCTCCGCTCCGGCACCGTCTCCTTGCACTGGGGTTCTGTCCCCCTCGGGGTTTGCTGCTGGCCCGCGGGCAGCGTGGAGCTCCCCTTCCTCACTGCCGGCGAGCTGCCCGAGGTGGCGCGGCCTCTCGGGACAGTGCGTCCAGTGCCCGGCTGTGCTTGGGCTGCGCCTCTCAGACAGAATAGAATCACACTTTGTCAGTGGTGCTCTGCTCACAGAAGTAAAACTACAGAAAGTAAGAAATAATTGATGCCCTCTTCCCATTCTGTCTTTTTGTTCTCCTCCTCCCACTGCCCCTCGCTCAGCAGAGCAGGTGGGTTTAATCGAAGCAGTCCTGCCCTTCACACACCACTCCCTCCCTCTGCGCCCACCACGCCTCACCTCGAAGGCCTTCCTGCTTCAGTCTGCGAAAGGTCCGCTCAAAAAACATTCTGTGCAAGCGACTTTTGTCCTGAGAGAAAAAGGAAGTATTGATTTCTTGCTGTTTGGACATTCATCACTTCCTAAGTAGCATTTGTTATATTTGTCATATTTCAAGAGCTCGTGTGTTTTGAGTTATGAACCAGATACTCTGCAAAGTAATAGATGTGCCTTGCAGAAAATTTGGAAAATTCTGAGCACGTAAAGAAGAAGATGGAGCCAGTCGTTATTTACTACACCTGAGGGCCGCTGTTGACGTTTGGAAAGTCCTTCCAGACTTTATGCATCTGCAAATGCACATACATTTTAAAAAGTGGAATTGAACATACTGTGTTCTATAATTGGGTGCTTTGTTTTTTGCATGTCACATGATACTGTGGAAACGGCTCCCACTGACGAAGTGCGCTCTGCCCCGGGCCTCCCAGAGCCTGCCGGTGCGCACTCACTGTGGTGTTTCCTCAGGGGTGCTCTGTGGGATGGTCGCCATCGCAGACGCTGTCAAGCAGGAAGCCGCCCTGGCTGTGCACACGCTCAGGAGCATGGGTGTGGATGTGGTTCTGATCACGGGGGACAATCGCAAGACAGCCAGAGCCATTGCCACCCAGGTATGGGCTGGTGCCGCTTCCTTTTTTCAAATTAAAGAGACTTTAAGCTCATAGCAGCAGTTTGAGAAAAAAACTCGATGCCAGTACATCCAGTACTCAGTTTTCCTTCTCTGCTTTCCCCTGCTGGGTACTTTCCCTCTGTGTGCTAACTGCTCAGCACCATGCAACATCCCACTGGGGACCCCCAAGCTACCTGCCACAGCAGAGTCCCCACCCCCGGGGGCCTGGGAGCTGTCATTCATGTAGGACTGGCTATGGTCCTGGAAAAGCAATTCCATCATTCTCCATTTCCCAATCTTTGCAATGAACAAAAAAATCATGGCTTGAGGGCTGACATAAACAACTTTGTAGTGTTTATGTTGAAGGAATGTTTTGCCAGCTCAACTCTTCCCCCTCATGTGCACCACATAACTGATTGCTCCGGGCAGTTCCCCGCAACACCCGAGAACATTTTTGCATTTATCTTCAGAGAGAGAGAGGGAGGAAGAGAAAGAGAAAAACATCGACGTGAGAGAGATACATCAAGGGGCTGGGGACAAACTGTAACCCAGGTACATGCCCTTAGAAGGAACTGAACCCGGGACTCTCCTGTCCACAGGTCGATGCTCTAACTGCTGAGCCAAACTGGCCAGGGCAAGTTATATGGTTTTTTAAAAAAAATGTAGGTTTTTTTTATTTTTTAGAGAGGAAAGGGGAGAGAGAGAGAGAGAGAAATGTTGATCGGCTGCCTCCTGCACGCCCCCTACTGTGAATCAAACCCACAACCAGGTCATGTGCCCTGACCTGGAATTGAACCAGAACCTCTCAGTCCATGGAACAACGCTCAGTCCACTGAGCCACACTGGCTGGACTAACATTGTAAGCTTTGAAAATGAATTACTCCTTATGAGGGAAGCAACAGTATCTCTCTTTCCTGGGCATTTTGCACAATAGACTTGCTGAGTCACCCCTCTTCCTGCTTAGAAGTTGTTCACCCCTTCAGCAGGCACTTATTAAGCACCATCCATGTGGCAACAGGCTACAGAGAGGAGTGAAGAGGGCACCTGCCCTATGTGGAGGGTGGACCAGCAACCACCTGTAAACTGAGTGCTTGGTGCCTCAGCAGAAGAGGGCACAGGGCGCCGCCAACATCCTCCAGCCCGGCGGGGCCAGGTGCCTTCCCAGGGGGAGGAAGCTGGAGTCGAGAGCGGGTAGGATGAGGGGAAGCAAGCTGACTTTCCCAGGACTAAGCAGGCAACATGAGCACTGCCGAGGGTACAAAGTAGCTGCCAGTTGGGAGAGAGCAGGGAGCTGAATTGGGCCACCAGGCAGGGAGCTGGAGATGAGCAGAGGTCTGTGGGGACCTCGGGAGGCAGACCAAGGAATTTAGATACTAAGAAAACAGGTCCTCTGGAGGACTTGAAGCAGGAGAGAAAAATTGCCCTGGCCAGTTTGGCTCAAGGGCACATAGCTGGGTTGCAGGTTCAGTCTCCAGCCTTGGTTGGGGTTGTGTGGGAGGCAACCAATCAATGTGTCTTGCTCACATCAGTGTTTTTCCCTCTCTCCCTCTCCCTCCTTCCCTTCCACTCTCTCTAAAGATCAATGGAAAACTATCCTTGGGTGAAGATTAACAATAATGAAAAAGACCCAATAATTGTTGTTTAGGAAAGAACTGGGATAGCATATGGAGAACAGAGTCGGGAGGCGGGACGTGGGCAGTGAGGTCCCGAACCACCGCCTGGCCTTGGGATGGGCTCGGGATACGTTTGCCACATGACCTGGAACTTGTGGGGCTACAGGACTGCGTCGTTGACAGGACCTGCAGGCCGAGGTGGAGGTTGGGCAGGATGACTCTTGGGTTTCTGCTCCTGTTCCTGTCCTTTGCCAGTGCTGGGTGTTGTCATGTGTTTGTTTACTTTCTGACTGCTGCTTTCCTCCTTTTAGGTTGGCATCCACAAAGTCTTTGCAGAGGTGCTGCCTTCTCACAAGGTGGCCAAGGTCCAGGAGCTCCAGAAGGAAGGGAGGAAAGTCGCCATGGTGGGAGACGGGATTAACGACTCCCCAGCCTTGGCCCAGGCCGACATCGGCATCGCCATCGGGACAGGCACAGATGTCGCCATTGAGGCGGCTGATGTGGTTCTCATCAGAGTGAGCTTGCAGTGTCTCCTCCTCCCCGTGTCCAGGCAGTGGGAGTGGGCGGGCCGGGGGCAGGGCCCCTGACTCACCGGTGTTCCCCTGCTGCAGAATGACTTGCTGGATGTGGTTGCTGCCATCCACCTCTCCAAGAGGACTGTCTGGAGAGTGCGGCTCAACTTGGTGTTGGCGCTGATCTATAACCTGGTTGGGATCCCCATCGCAGCAGGTGAGGTGGCTGTCACCCGGGGACCTTCCACTCCCGCTCTCTGCCCGCCTGGTTCTTGCCGACCTTCATGAGCAGCCCGCCGTACTGGCTGGCCAGCCAGAAGCATTTTAGAGAGTTGATTTTATTATGTTCTCTGCTTACTGAATCTCTAAAAGTAAATGAGAAACTGCAGAGATAACCCAAACTTTCATTTACTCTGGTCCTCTTTGAAAAGTTGCCAAGTTGCTTGACTATTTATTACGGCCCTACTTTCTGAACCATTTATTACACATACAGTCTGAAAACTCAGCATCATTAACAATTATGGGACACTTGCTACATGCTAGGCACCACGATTGTTTTAGAACCTTAACTTAATGTTCATCCTTCCCAAGATGTACCTTGTCGCACAGAAATACTCATGGAAAGAGATTTTCTCTGCTTTGTAGCTCTTCTCTTCTCCGTTTGATACTGTGTTATCACATAGGAAAAAATTCCAACAATCTTACAAGGAGAGGCTTCTACATAGGCTAAAACCTAAAGTTTTCAAACTTCAGATCCCCTGTCGTGTCTGAGAGGTTAACAGTGACTCACATTACGATGAGCATGTCCACCTCAGCTGCTGTGCCAGGTGCGCCAGCCAGGTGTACCTTCTGCTTCCAGAGCTGGCCCAGGTGCTGGTTCCCTACTGTGTCTGTGCCCTGCCACAGACCTCTGCCCAGACGTGGACGGAGTCTTCTGGCTCCGTGCTGGGCCTAGCTCTCGTTGCCCTTTGAAAAGGTGCTTTGAGCCCTTGCAGGAAGACAGCCCATGTAGACAGGTCTGTGGTCATAGCGTGTTCACACAGTCCCCACAGTGCCTCAGGACAGCTGGCTCCCCTGGCCTGCTCCCCTGAATGTCCCCTTGAAACTGAAACTGGACAGACCCAGGAAGGTCAGGGCAGAGTGGAGACCCCAGTCCCCTTGACAGCCACCCCCCTCGGGCCCCGAGACAGCCTGCCTCAGGCCTACGGGCATGTGGTCAGAATGCGGCTGCTGAGCTATGCCTGTCACTGCATGTGGGCCCTCTCCTCGCTCTCCTCGGCTGCACTGTGAGTGTTGTCCCCCTCTTGGCAGGTGTCTTCATGCCCTTTGGCATCGTGCTGCAGCCATGGATGGGCTCGGCAGCCATGGCAGCCTCCTCTGTGTCTGTGGTTCTCTCGTCGCTGCAGCTCAAGTGGTGAGTCCCCGTGCGGCGGGAGCGCGGGCTACAGGCGAGGCGTTATTTGCCCGGCCCTCGCGTTCTGCACGCGCAAGGCAGATTTGGGCTGGCTGGTGCGCCTCCTGGGCCAGCAGTGGTTGTGTGCTCTCACAGTCCTGATTCCCCAAGGCAGAGACCGAAGGGACCGCCCTGAGTGGAGCCAAGTGTGTATAGTATAGTGATTTCTTAGCACCATGATCAGATAATCTACCACTTAACACCCATCACGGGCTGAGCTGTTCTAGTTATTCTGCTCAAGGGCTGCTTCTGTAAATACGGACACGTGCCACTTAACAAGGGGCGTACTCAGAGATGTGTCATTAGGCCATTTTGTCTTGCAACCGTCACAGGCCCACTTGCACAAACCGGAGTGTCTAGGCTGCCGCGCACCTCGGCCAGGTGCAGAGCGCCCCGGGCGGATCCAAGCACTGGGGGAAAGGTGTGGCCAGAGGCTCAGTGGCGGGATGTCTGCGGTTGCTTCCAGTGTAGGATGGCCTGGTGTTTCATGGCACTCTTTTTTTGTTGTTGTTTTTTAATATGTTTTTATTGACTTTTTCAAGTGAGAGAGGAAGGGGGAGAGAGAAAGAAACATCAGTATGAGAGAGACACATCAGTGGGCCGCCTCCTGCATGCCGTCCACTGGGGATCAAGCCTGCAACCTGGCCATGTGCCCTGACGGGGAATCGAACCCGGACCTCTCAGTCCGTGGGACGATGCTCAGTCCACTGAGCCCCACTGACTGGGCACAAACTGTTTTTTAATAAGTAGAAAGAATACACTATAAAATAATAAAAAGTACAGTATAGAAAATACATAAACCATTAACAGAATTGTTTGTCATCGTTATCAAGTATCATGTTCTGTAACTGTTCTGCATTTTATACGACTGGCAGAGTCACCACAGACACGCGAGGATGTGTGTGTTAGTGTCACCGTGGCTGCGACGTGTCTGGGTGACAGGAATTTTTTAGCTCCACTACAATCTTATAGGACCCCCATCATATACGCGGTCCCTTGTTGACTGAACATTAAATGTCATTATGTGGCCCATGACTGTATGTAGGTATGGCATCCCTGTGTTCAAAAATTTTTCTTTTTTAAAATAGATATTTATTTACTTATGCTTTCATTGAACACAAATTAATGACAGCCTGCATGCTAGGCATTTGCCTAGGAAGTTCACCAGAACCCTGGGAGTTTGATGCTGCATGTTATTGAAAGACCTGGACAAGTGGGACCTTCATCAGGCTCAAACGCCTGTGTCCAGAATGGTTCAAATGCCCTTGTATTCTTGCTTTGCAGCTATAAGAAGCCTGACCTGGAGAGGTACGAGGCCCAGGCCCAGGCCCAGGGCCGCATGAAGCCCCTGACCGCATCCCAGGTCAGTGTGCACATCGGCATGGATGACCGGTGGCGGGACTCCCCCAGGGCCACACCCTGGGACCAGGTCAGCTACATCAGCCAGGTGTCGATGTCCTCCCTGAAGTCCGACATCCTGTCTCGGCACAGCACCACAGCTGATGACAGCGGGGACAAGTGGTCTCTGCTCCTGAATGACAGGGACGAGGAGCAGCGCATCTGAAAGCTCCGGACTGGTGCAGACCACGGGCCGTCTCCTGGCTGGTCCGCAGCTCTGGCCCCACAGGTGCAGCACTGACAGCCGGCTGCAGGGTGGGTGAAGCCTTGGGAACGTCCACTTCCTGGACCTTCTAGTTCATTCCACCCTGCCTGGACCCCACAGGCACAGGGTGAGGCCTTACCACGCTGTTGGCGTCGACTTGTTGGAAACCTTGCTGGCCTCTAGCAGAGGGAGGAGCCAGCCCTCCTCACAGACCTGCTTTTTTTAGTGTTTGGGATGACTCCTTGTGAAATGAGGAAAATCTCACCAGGACCAAAAACTTAGCTGAGCCTTTCCCTGGAACTAGTGAAAAACCTAGAATGCACGTAAAACCTCAGTGTCGTCCTCTTTTTTGCAACGCCCACAAGCATCATGCCTAAAACCACAGTTTACCTCCAGTGCACCCTTGGGTTTCTGCTGGTACAATCTCTGCCTTTTCTGTCCTTGACCCTGGGGGTGGCACCCTCATCATCTTTCAGGGTCCCTGCTGCAGCCCTGAGGCACTTCCCCAAGTGCAGGCGCCCATGGGAGCAGCTGCCTGACGCAGAGCTTGCGGGCTTCTCCTCGGGTTCGGGCGTCCACTCTTGCTGCCGAGCCGCTTCTCCGTTGTGCCCAGCTGGAGTGAGGGTCTCAGAGCCCGAGCCTTGAGAAGTCCAGCTTCCTGTGGGGTGCAGATGCTTGGGCCCCGGAGAGGCCTGTGGTGCTTGAAGCAGGTGTCCCGTGGGGGAGGCTTGTGCGTGCAGGAGCCTCCCACATGGCTCCAGGGGCTTCGGTCAGTCTGCTGTGTGACTGTCACTTCGTGGAGTTCGGCGTAGTTCCGTGTCGGTGGTGCCCGGTGTTGTGCAACCCGAGCAAGCAGGGATTCCCAAACTACAGGAAACCCAGCTCTTCTCCACGAGCTGCTCCACGAGCTGCTGCTGCAGGAAAGCGGTGGCCACAACTTCCCTAAGAAAGCCCTTTGTACTCTTCAGTGGCTCTTTGTGGTTGCATGACATTGGAGGGGCAGGAATGTGGCTAGTTTTAGACTTTGGACTTGCTATTGATCAACAGACCACATGGGAATAGACTGGTAGAGTCGTAACTGCAGAATAGGCAGAGCAAAGCTTATTCCAGATTCTAAGGTGAATCCCTTTTCACACATACAAAGTAATTTTATTTATTGAGAATCAGTTATTTTTCCAAGGCAACGTAAGCACTTTCTATAAATTAACTCTAATTCTCCTAGCAAACCAACAAAGTAGATATTTGTTCACCTTTCACAGGCAGGACAACAGGCTCAGAGAGGGACAGAATCCTGCCCAGGGTCACACAGCCAGTATTCATGCCAGAACAAGGGTCTGAGTCCATGTCTGCTGGCTCGGAAGTCCTTTCTTTATCTCTGCTTCACCTTGAATATTTTCCTTGATAAGAATAAACAAGAGCCCTAGCCAGTTTGGCTCAGCGGTTAGAGTGTCAGCCCGCGGACCAATGAGTCTCAGGTTCGATTCCAGTCAAGGGCATGTACCTAGGTTGCGGTTCGTCCCCGGCCCTGGTCAGGTCGTGCAGGAGGCAACCAGTCGATGTGGCTCTATCACATCCATGTTTCTCTCTCTACCTCCCTCTCACTCTATCTAGTGATAAGCAGGAAATTATCCTCAGGTGAGGAATTAAAAAAAAAGGATAAACAAGAAAAGGCCCTTGCTCCTGGAAGAATAAATCTGCCAGGTGATATAGTTATTGTATCAGCTTGTAATGAAATTTGACCCAAGGTCATCTCGCCTTCTTGTGGATGGTTTGTTTTTATTTTTGCATACAACTTAGTTTTTGCTGAGTCTTATCCTCTGAAACTCAAGTGCAGGGTTTTGTGGTGTCTTTATTATTTCCAATCTTCCTTTTCCCTCCTAGCCCCTCCTACCCAGTTGTCTTTATTCCTGGCTGCACTTGGGGAATGTTTCTTGTTTTCTAACTAGGCTAATCATTCTCTAAAGACTAATTCATTTTTTCAGAAAGCTTTTAGGACCATAAATATCATGTTTATATAGACACAAAAATATTTATATAATTGTGCAGAAAATAATCTTTTCTGATGTTCAAAGTGTAAGAATTTTTTTTTTGTCAGATAAGAACAGTTCTCACTTCAAAAACTTTTTTTTTTTTTTTCCCCCCCCCTCCACCCTGTCCCCGGCTTAGTTGTCCATGTCCATTGGTCATACATACATGCATATAAGTTCTGTGGTTTATCTCTTCCCACCCCCCCACCCCCCATCCCCTCTTCTGAGGGATGTCAGTCTGTACCCTACTTCCATGTGTCTGGGTCTACTGTATTCCTCAGACTGTTATGTTCATTATATTCCGTATATAAGTGAGATCATGTGGTATTTGTCTTTTTCTGCTTGGCTTCTTTCACTTAGGATAATACTTTCCAGGTCCCTCCATGTCGTCTCAAAGGATAAGAGATCTTTCTGTCTTACCGCTGCATAGTATTCCATTGTGTATATGTACCACAGCTTTTTGATCCATTCGTCTACTGGTGGACACTTGGGCTGTTTCCAGATCTTAGCTATTGTAAATAGTGCTGCTATGAACATGGGGGTACATATATTCTTCCTGATTGGTGTTTCAGGCTTCTTAGGGTATATTCCCAGCAGTGGGATCACTGGGTCGAATGGAAGTTCAATTTTTAATTTTTTGAGGTAGCACCATATTGTTTTCCACAGCGGCTGCACCAGTCTGCATTCCCACCAGCAGTGTATTAGAGTCCCCTTTTCTCCACACCCTCGCCAACACTTGTTGTTTGATGATTTGTTGATGGCGGCCATTCTGACAGGTGTGAGGTGATACCTCATTGTTGTTTTAATTTGCATCTCTCTGATGATTAGTGATGTTGAGCATTTCTTCATATGTCTCTTGGCCATTTGTATGTCCTGTTTGGAGAGGTGTCTATTCAGCTCCTCTGCCCATTTTTTAATTGGGTTCTTTGTCTTCCTTTTGTGGAGTTGTATGAGCACTCTGTATATACTGGAAATTAACCCCTTATCTGATACATCATTGGCAATGATGTTCTCCCATACACTGGGTTGCCTTTCCATTTTGATGATTGTTTCTTTTGCTGTGCAGAAGCTTTTTAGTTTGATGTAGTCCCATGTGTTCATTTTGTCCTTTATTTCTGTTGCCTTAGGTGATGTATCAGTGAAAATTCCGCTCTGTATGATGTCCGAAATTTTGTTGCCTACATTTTCTTCTAGAATTTTTATGGATTCACGGGTCACATTTAAGTCTTTTATCCATTTCGAGTTTATTTTTGTGTATGGTGTAAGTTGATGGTCTAGTTTCATTTTTTTGCATGTAGCTGTCCAATTTTCCCAACACCATTTATTAAAGAGGCTGTCTTTACTCCACTGTATGCTCTTGCCACCTTTGTCAAATATTAATTGAGCGTATTGCCTTGGGTCCATTTCTGGGTTTTCAGTTCTGTTCCACTGGTCTATATGCCTGTTCTTGTGCCAGTACCAGGCTGTTTTGGTTACAGTCGCTTTGTAGTATAACCTGATATCTGGTATTGTGATCCCTCCAACTTTGTTCTTCTTTTTCAAGATTGCTGTGGCTATTCGGGGTCTTTTTTGGTTCCATATGAACTTTTGAAGTATTTGTTCTAGTTCTATGAAATATGTCGTTGGTATTTTGATGGGGATTGCATTGAATCTATAGATTGCTTTGGGTAGTATGGACATTTTAATTATGTTAATTCTTCCAATCCATGAACAAGGTATGTGCTTCCACATTTTTATATCTTCCTCTATTTCTTTTTTCAATGACCTGTAGTTTTCTGCAAATAGGTCTTTTACTTCTTTGGTTAAGTTTATTCCTAGGTATCGTAATTTTTTTGGAGCGATGGTAAATGGGATTGTTTTTTCAGTTTCTCTTTCTGTGAGTTCATCATTGATGTACAAGAATGCCGTCGATTTCTTGACGTTAATTTTGTATCCTGCTACTTTGCCAAATTCAATTATTAAGTCTAATAGGTTTTTGATGGAGTCTTTAGGGTTTTCTATGTACAATATCATGTCATCTGCAAATAATGACAGTTTTACTTCCTCCTTTCCAATTTGGATCCCTTTTATTTTTTCTTCATGTCTGATTGCTGTGGCTAAGACTTCCAGTACAATGTTAAATAAGAGTGGCGAAAGTGGACATCCCTGTCTTGTTCCTGTTCTTAATGGAAATGTTTTTAGTTTCTGTCCATTGAGTATGATGTTGGCTGTAGGTCTTTCATATATGGCCTTTATTATGTTGAGATATGATCCCTCTATTCCTACATTGCTGAGCGTTTTTATCAGAAATGGATGCTGGATTTTGTCGAATGCTTTTTCAGCATCTATTGATATGATCATGTGGTTTTTATTCTTCATTTTGTTTATGTGGTGTATCACGTTTATTGATTTGCGAATATTGTACCAGCCTTGCATCCCTGGAATGAATCCCACTTGGTCATGGTGAATAATTTTTTTGATGTATTTCTGGATCCGATTTGCTAGTATTTTGTTCAGGATTTTGGCGTCTATGTTCATCAGGGATATTGGCCTGTAGTTTTCTTTCTTCGTAGTGTCTTTTTCGGGTTTTGGAATTAGAATTATGCTGGCCTCATAGAACGTGTTTGGAAGTCTTCCTTCTTCTTGAATTTTTTGAAATAGTTTGAGGAGAATGGGTGTTAGTTCTTTTTTGAATGTTCGGTAAAACTCCCCCGTGAAACCATCTGGGCCTGGGCTTTTGTTTGCTGGGAGAGTCTTGATTACCTCTTCAATTTCCTTAGTTGTTATTGGTCTGTTCAAGTTTTCTATCTCTTCCGGGAATAGTTTTGGGAGACTGTGTGTTTCTAGAAATTTGTCCATTTCGCTGAGATTGTCGAATTTGTTGCCATATAGTTGTTCATAGTAGTTGTTAACGATCTTTTGTATTTCCGTGGTGTTGGTTGTTACTTCTCCTCTTTCATTTCTGATTTTGTGTATTTGGGTTCTCTCTCTTTGTTTCTTGGTGAGTCTAGCTAAGGGTCCATCTATCTTGTTTATCTTTTCGAAAAACCAGCTCTTTGTTTCATTGATCCTTTGAATTGTTTTTTTGGTCTCTATGTCATTTATTTCTGCTCTGATCTTTACTATTTCCTTCCTTCTACTTGCTCTGGGGTTTTCTTTTTGTTTGCTTTCTAACTCTTTAAGTTGTGAGGTTAGACAGTCAATTAGAAATTTTTCTTGTTTTTTGAGGTAGGCCTGTAGTGCTATGAACTTCCCTCTCAGAACTGCTTTCGCTGCATCCCATAGATTTTGTGTTGTTGTGTGTTCATTTTCATTGGTTTCCAGGAAGTTTTTAAT